CACTTTTCCAATCATTCATATTATGTATACTCTCAATATTCTGATCAAACGACAGCATGGACTCAAGGTGGTCACATGCGCGATGACAGATATGTGTGGGGTGGATTATTGAATCGTTTTGGGTCCGTTTATAAATTTGATTCAATCTGAATTGCATCTGCTGTGTTTTTAATGCGATCAGATTGTTGTGAGGCTAGGGAAGCTACTGGATTTTTGAGAAATATGAATCTATTTTGTAACTATTGATCCTATGACAGAAGTTTAGGGGATTTAAAATGATTTCGATCTAATAAGTTGTCTACAGTGGAACATATCGAAATGTAAGATTATTCTAAAGGTGCGAAGCTGATCAACTTACTTTTGATCAATTTTCATCGTTTTGATCAGCTCTGCTTCCTTAGACCATTCTGTTTTGCATCAATTCAGGTCAAGCGTGATCAAGAGTTGAATTAGTAAATTCTGCTACAATAGCTTTTATACTGATAGCTTGAATAGTGACGGCTTCCTAAGCCATCTCATTAAAACCACAATTATCAGCTTAAAGCAGTCCAGACTCTTAAACTTCTTTTGTTTTAATACCCAAGAGCTGTACATCAATTTTTGATTTTAGAGTGCCCATAGTAGCTCAAAACACCAGCTTCAGAACTACTCATTTGACAATATTCGTGCTTGCAGCTTACAAATAAAGGCGGTGAGTTGCTTTTCTATCTATGCCGACTCACAAATCAAGCTATTTCATCTAATTGATTATCTTAACTCAACTTTTTATTAAAATTAAATTCAATATGGACATAAACAACTTGGACAACAATCAACTCAACAGCACAACGTCCATTCTCAACAAATAATAATAATATAACGGCGTGTAATCGAGATGGGTCTCCTCCTTTCTCAAAACTACTAAGCTCAATAATATTTTATTAAAGTAAAGGAGAGACTGTTCATTCCCTGATGTGAATCGAGATATTTTACATTTCGTATCGTCAATTTTGATTTTTTGATCAGCAATAGCAAGGCATAGAAATAAAGGGGGTAGAAATTCAATACGAAGAGGTCAGATGAGATGTAGGAAAAGTATAAACAGCGCGAAATAATGACCACTGTTGTGTGTGAATAAATTGAAGAAATAGAGAAAAATTTCCCTTCCTTTATTTACTTTCTTTCTGTTCCTCACTTTCGTCGATTTTGCTGCTGACGTTTTGGGATTATGTGCTGTGTGTTTGTCTCGCTTTTTGGCGCATTGAATGGACGGATTTTTATTGTATTTTATAACATCTTTTTTAAAAGTGTATATCGAGGCAATTCTTTCTTTTTTTTGACCGACGACTGTGAGCTGTTTGATGTAAAATTTGCTTCCTTGTCGCTTTGAACAATCCAAGAGGATGAGAAAAATCAATAAAATTTCCTTCAAATTCTTTCGACGTAGCGAGAAATGGCAAATAAAGGATGTTTTACTCTCTCGGACCGGTTCGCTTGATTTTTCCCTTTTTTCTGTTGTCGTTACTTTTCATTTCTTAAAGCCACCCTCGTTGAATTATTATTATCATGACCATTGCTGCTGCTTTTATTTCTGTTTCTGTTCTGATATACTTCTTTGTAACAAATATCGTAATATAAATAGGGAATTGATGTGAAAAATAAATAATTTAATGTCCGAAATCGCCGTCATATGCACACATATAAATTTTCTTTTGAGGGACTGCGGAAAGTCGCAGTTGATTTTTTGGGATGCTTGGGAAATTTAATGGGATGATTTTTGAGTCGTTGAAGGGTGTGCATGGACTGTGTTGGTGAGATTTGTCTACTTCCTTATAAGTTGTTCAAGATTTTAAGGCAATTATTGATTTTATTTGACAAAAATATTGAAAGTTCGACTTCCAATGGAAATCGAACCCAAGACATCTTAAAAACCGGGTTTTGGATTTTTGGTTTGTTGTGTAACAACTGAGCTACAGATGCCTAATTCTCAAAATGGTATATTCTTCAACATATAGCTTCCAACCCTAGATATCTCTTAGCTTGTTAAAGAAACAATACTTCATCACAATAAATTCTGTTCAGTCTGAATTTTGATTCAAAAACTCAATACGAAATCATAAAATTCTCATTTCAAAATCTACAATTACGGGCTCTGTGCTCAAAAAGTAATAAGAACTCTTGAAAAAAAGTGAATAATAAGACGCGAAAATGTGAAATGTAAGTCAAGCATGAATATATCCAAACAGAACGGATGTTGAACAATCGAGCCAGAAGGGCCAGTGTATACACAATTTCGCACAAAAACACACACACACACAGCAGTCTTTACTGTTGCTAATATTCATTCACATGTGGCTTATCATTAAATACATCAAGCACACCAGCAAATTTGTATTCAATAAATTTATTTTTTTTCCGCTCCTTTCACTCGGCTAGTAATTTCTCGCACTAGAATATTGGTTTGCTGAATCTCATGGTCCCATCAGTGTAGATGATTTATCGCATGAGGTGCTGTGATTTATGGCTATAGTATTTACTTAACCTTTTATCCTTTTTCCTTTCTTTTTAACTATTTTTCTCCTCCTTTCTTCTCCTCGATGTCAATCGTTTAAAAAATGAAAATCTTTTTTTTTATTTTGGAAAAAAATGCAAATTAGAGAATGAGGTGCATTTAAGGTACGATTCACTAACAAGGTATAAAATACAATTTATTTTTTTTTGACTATACTGAAATGATTTATGTCGTTAAATCTATGTTGAGAACTGGTTTTTTTTTTTGGACATGCATTTGAGTAAATATTTATCTTGCAATTGTTAACTGCCTTCCTAGTTCTTTATGCATACATTGGCCTTCAGGCATAAAAACTTCTAATTATTTCCCCGTTTTTACTATTTATGTAGACGAAACCCGGGGATCGATGAAAAATGTCTTTTAATGGGACGTCGTGGTAATTTAAATATGTGTGTAAAAGGGAATAAAAGACAGCTTTTTGTGTGTGCAGTTTTTAGTAAAAATCTTATTAAAGATATTAATCAATGTTGGTTGCACTAATGACACTTTTTTTTTCTTTAGACTACCAATTGTTGTTATTTCTTTGGCCCGTTTCTATGATAAATTGGTGGGCCTTACCGTAGATAAATGAGATAAATTGTCCTTCAACCTCTTTTGTATTTCTTTTTTGTGTCAAACAATTTTCGATTTGTTTCTTTTTCCTTTTTGTCGTAGCTTTTGTTTAGAATATATTGAATTTATGTTTGTTGAAATATTTCATATTGGCAAGGCTTAGAGAATCATCTGAAAATTTCATGATGTGCAGATGAGTGTGATAGGCTGTGTTTTGGTGACATAAGGTATTTTTGGGGACATTTGTGCAAGAAACTAGCTTGGTTTCGACCTTAGAATCTACGCAAACATCAATTATCAAAAAATTCTTGAATTTTTGAAATAAAAATTCATTTTATTCGTCAAAAAAATATTTTTATGTCCACCAACAAGTCATCTATTTTGCTTGTCCTATCTAAAACAATTCTACTTCCCATCACCGTTTATAGATGAAAGTAAAAAACATATTTACACAAACATTTTTAAACATCAATAGTAATCAAAACTGAATCTGACGAGCCCTTCAAGATATATGAAAATTAGCCACTTATGAAATTAATTTTCATGCTCAAATAAAAAGGCAAGTGGAAGCACATAAAAATCAACGAAATAAAAAAATTGCACAGCAAAAAAAATCCCTTCAACAATTTTATTTTTGCTGCATAAATTTAGCACAGCTGAATGATTTCTTGAGTGTTTCATTAAATGTGAACTCGACACGACAAAAAACATATATTTTTTTTGCTGCATTTTAATGAAACTATTTTGAATGGTTGTAGTCGAGTGCTGATTACTGATTCCGCGACATTTCAATAAATCATTTGGAATTATTTTCTTAGTCAATTTGGGAATGTAACCAGGGGAGAAGGGGTTTACCCAAGTTTGAGTAGAGTTACGCTCGAAAAAAAATTATAAATCCCTACAAACATACCCCCCCCCCCCCCCTCAAATCTTATCTAGCTGCCCCTTATTCCACTCATAAGCTCTGCATAAATTGACGGTTTTAACGATCAAAGAATTGCAATTTTTTTGCTACTCTCCTGGACGTAATTTTATTAGAATTGCCCTCAGGCTGAATAAAAAGTTTTTAATAATAATACTGCATATAAAAAACGAGAAGCACATGCACATTCGCGTTTTTTTTTCGCTTCGATAGCACAAAGAAGAACAAAATAAACGACGTGAATAAAGAAGGGATAGAACGAGATATGTTCTTGCCATTCGTCCTCTTATTATTTCCATTTGAGAACACTGCATTGCATCTATAAGAACATAATAAAAGCAACCTCGTCGCTAAATAGTTACAACAAAGAATAGAAGTGAGTATTAGTCGCGTGCATACGCGATATTTTATTGCGTCCCTTTTTATTATTGCCTAATTCTGCTTAAGAGCGATTCTACCCTAATATGATTTTATGTTTTATGTCCTCACCGTGCATTTTATTTAAAATTGCTTAACAATACAGCGGGTTTTTTGGCTACAAAGAATATTTGTATAATAGAAGTTGATGATGTCAGCACGATCGAATTTTTTTCGTTATAGCAAAGCCGACAAGCAGCATGCACACTTTTCAGAATGAGTTGAGTGCCGCGAAAAAAAAACTTGCATTTGTGAATAAATGGAATAAAATTTTAATATGAAGGGATGGCTTGTGATGGAATAATTGGATTAAAATTTCAGTTCAAGGTCAATTTTAATTGAGTTGATTTTTAGTAAAATTGGATGGAAAATTAGATAATAGTTGAGCTGCAATTTATTTGGAGGCATTCTGAATATTATGTTACATTGTATAGAGTTTTGGGTGATTTTAGAACAGTTTAAGGAATCAGAATCTTAGCTGATCTACCGCCGGTTACACTCTTGTTCCATTTTTAAGTTTTGATTCAAAACTCTATTTTATAATGCAATCACAATCATCACAATTGAATTGTCTCTTAATTAGTGCTGACTAAATCTTTATTCAGGATCAGATCTGATTCTTCCACACCACCGTAATCTACCAAATATACACGAATCACAACAATTTTGTCTAAACACTATTAAACAATGAGCAACTAGTTCCAACAAAAATCCAATAATAGAAATACCACAAGCGCCAAGCCAAATATAAAATCCGTAAGCTAAATCGTCAACATCTAAAACTTTTTGTGTGCTTTCCACATCTTCGACAATATTTCGAAAATTCACCCAAGTATGGAACTCGTATGAATGTTGGATTATTCCCATTGGAATAAAACGCTGCACAATCTCGTCAGTCAACTCGAACAGGAAGTGATTTCTGAATGTTGAAATTCCATATTGGTGAGTAAAGAGCGACTGCTTTAGGATTCTTGGAGAACATTTGCAGACAGATCCTAGAATTGGAAGTTGATCGTTGGGCAGATAGAATGCGAGTCTTGCTGAATAGTTTTCTCGTTGCTGGAAAAATTCTTGATTGAAGTCGTAGATGTTAGTGAAAGCTTGAATCTTTGGTCTGTGAAAGTTAATTAAAGGATTTCTGATTCTAGGCTGCTTTAGGACTATCTGAGGGACCCTGCCCTAAAATTGACTAAAATTAGCGTAGGGTACCTGCAGCTAGTTCTAGAAACGAGCCCCTGAATTTCAAAAACAATAAAATTTCTTACCTTTTACTCTCTTCGATCATATTCTCCAAAGTATTCATAATATGACTATATCCAACCGTCACTATCGTAAAATTTTGATAGTATAAATCGTTAATCGTTTCTGGTGACGGCTTCCTCATGTCTGACGTCATGAATTCAAATAGTTTACTTTGATAGCATGTTCGAAAGATCAAACAGAACACGATAAAACTAAGTAGTAAAAATCGAGGATATGCCTTCTCAGGAACTTTCATTTGACCTAGTCCGAAGAAAATGAAAACAATATTTAATGTGGGTGTCGTGATTCCTTCACCGTAGACTATGTTTTGATACTTAAGAGGCATTCTGTTTAGTATTAGAATGACAATAAATGTCACAACAAATGTCAACGTCAGCCAAATCCATGTTTCGTCATCAAATGGAAGGAATAGTTTCTCACTGATTGTATAAGGTTCTCCAGGTGTAATTAGGAAAATTAGACTGCTTTCTGCAAAAGTCATTGAGACATGATAATTGCTGTCAACTTGAGTTCTTATTTCATGTAAAACTTGAATTTTCTTATGCTCTTGAAATAAGAAATAGTCGCTAGGTACTCTTTTTTCAGGTCTTGTTTGAAGATCGAATGAAACAATTTGAATCCATGGATTAAAATTTACATATTTTGACATGGCCATGAAAATGTCAACCAATAATCCTTTTGGTTTATCCGAAAACTTATCAATATAAAAAGTATTCTTAATTTCCAATGTAACTCCTGAAATAAGTTTACAATTGTAAAAATTCCTATATTTTTTAAGGGTTTCTAGCTTTTTATCCCATTTTAAAGTCGTCTTGTTCATTGAATTAATTTTCTCAATTGCTGGCTGGTTGCATCCTTCAATTGTAAACCATTCGAACGTTACAAGATTAATGCTATCTGATGTATCATGTAATATATATTCAAAACTAGTAAGCCTTCCCAAAGTAGCAAATAAAAACTGCTCAATGTAAAGATGATCAAAAAGATCTTTCATATCATCTAAATATACCAAAAATCTTAATGGCTTTGGATAATCATTTGTCAGTTTTGTAAAATAATTCAGATGATTTAATGTTGTGATGTTTTTTGTGATAATCAATGCTGAATTGTTTAATGTAAATCAACGATTTGCTAATATTTTATGATCATGAACATTAATGATCTTATTTGAGAAACTATTGAGCAACTTATTTTTTATTTCATTTATAATAAATGTGTCTAAACTTTTGTAGATAACAATGTCGAATAGAATGGAATTTTTGATGTAAATCTCTTCAATTAAATCTTTAATAGCTCTTATCATTGGAATTTTATCATCCTGATGTTCTTGATTGCGAATTAATCCTTCTAATGCAAATGTATATGAGCAAATGATCAAAGTTAAAATACTAAATGTTTTGAGCAACATTTTCTTAACTTTATTTGTATACAAACGCTAAAGCTTTACTAAGTTTATGAATCAAAATAATTCACGTGTTTTTTGTTTTGAAACAAACAAACAAAAAAAAAACAAATTGTTTTCATTAATAAGTATGTTTCTTTTGGGGTAGCCATATGTTTAAACTTTGTAAATCTTAGTTTTCGTTAGAAATTTTTGAAATGATCAATATAGCTTAAATAAATATTAAATATGGTTTGAATTGATTGATAATCGTGTTAATTCATTATTTAGTATAACAAGCCATTAAAGTTAAAATTCGAGCTAATCTTAAAATTGATTTCAAAGAGAACCTTTACTACGGATCATTTGAATTCTTCTAGTAATACATAACTGATGTAGCATACTAGTGTTCATATATTCTCGAATAGAATTCTATTCCTTAAGTACCATCGTAAAATTTATTGACCAATCTTGAATTTTTTTTAAGATGACCATAACAACTATTTAAAAAATCAAACTCTGGTCACCATTCTCGTCAGACATTCATTTTTATCAAAGGATTCTTACAATTTTAATTGTTCCGTTCTAATGAACAACTTAGTGACAATGTTTACTATTTAAATTATTATCAAGATTGAACGACGTCAATGAATCATCTAAATACCTAGTCATGGATTTATAGAAATTTAAAGCTTTGACATTTGTTAATATTGACTATAATAATGCATGTTCTTAATGTTGTTACATTTTTCAATGAATCTTTTATGATTCTTTTGAATTGTTCAATTGAAAATATTTTTAGAATTTGTAGTAAATATAGGCACCTCAGTGCTTTTATTAATTGCATCAAGAAAACTTAATTTTTATGTCTTCATTACCTAGTTTTCTATGGCATTTTAAACTTAATCTATTAAATTATGTAACATCAATTCTCATAATTATTGGTAAAGCTAATATGCTGTTTATTGATCTCACATTATATTACTTTAGTTGAACCACAAGTCAGTCCATATTTTTTTAAATGCATAATTTTTCGAAACACTTAATTTTTTCCTGTCAAATTATCCATTGCCAAAAAAAACTTATTGACGACATATGATAGCCACCAGAAATGCAACAGACTACTGCTGTTGCCTGAATAAACGTCCATAAAACAATGAAGTTAAATAAGCGAGAGAGATCATCAGAAAGGAAACTGACTGACTGGATGAATATAAAAAAAAATTTCTTCTTACAATTTTGTTGTCAACATTGATTCTTGACACTTGTGCTTCTTCTTCTGGCGCTTTTAATCTCATTCCTTTTTCATATCTGTCTTCTCGCCGATATGTCGTTCCTCTTTTAATATTATTTTGAGAATGAAAAACTGTACTACATTGTTGGCACATCCGTCTACATCTTTCCGTTCGTCTCTCTATCAACTGTTGTTCTTTGTTTTTTTTTTTTTTTAAATAATATATATAATACAATATATGCCGTGAGGAAATAATGAGAGTAACACGAAACCGCATATACAAAATATTTTTTTATTTATATATTTTTCGGGTGGGCATCATTATAATGCACTTTTATGCAATTTCACATTTAAGACAATCGCGAATTTCGTGTGCAATTCTTTTTGTATACTCTGTTTTGCGTCAGTTGCTCACCGGTTGATCCCCACATTACACATGACGGGGCTTATGCACACACAACACATTTATTATGTTATTTACTGCACTTTTTATATTCTTTATTCTTTATTTTAATTATAATAATCGACATCATGAAATTGTTGCCTTCTTCTTTGATAAATGTTGTGTATAACAATTGAGGGGCCTCGCTTTATTTCGGTTCACTGTCGCTGACTGATGTGCTTTTCATTGTATACACATTCATTTGTTGCTTCTAGGGCTTCTTAGCGATTACACTTCGCTGGTCATCACGAATATTTTTTTTTGTGCATTTGCTGCTGCTGAGAGACAACATAACGTATGGCAAGTTAGGGAATTGTTTGAGATGATTTTGAGTTTGGGGCGAAGTAGAGAATAAGTGGATTGGAGCTAGTCTCCTCTTTTTGCAAGAGATATGTGCCATAATCAATAGTACAAAAGTGATCAGAATGATCAAAAGTCAGTCGATCAGCTTAGCATACTTGGACACAATTTTATAAATTTTACGAACCTCTTTCTTCTAAGCGGACCTCTTATTTACTTCGTTGACCTTACAAATCAATTGTAATCCATGGTCTCTCTCAGATGCCGTTAAAAACTGGCTCTATCGCTGGCTACCGCTTGCCAATTTCTTAGGCTCTACTTAATGGACTTAATGCATCCACAAAAAAATCGTTCAAGGTAAATGTTCAACGCATCCCCATTTCTCCACTAAAAAATATCTTTACTTTCCCAAGTTTTTGTGAGACCTTGAAAACTTACGACTATGTTCCTGACTAAGTCTTAGCATTTGGACAGTCATGAGATGCTCAATGCTAATTTAAAAATTCATGAAAATTATGTTAAAAAAATTCAATTGAATGATTACGTTCTCGTCTCTTTAAATTCATTGTTACTCAAAAGTTAAATATCCGAGAAAAAAATTTATAAAGGAAATGAGCAGACATCCGAAAATTCTCAACCAAAAAAAAAATGATTTTGTTTTTCGCAGAAATTTATTTTTCTGTGTTATTCAGAAAAAAAGGGAAAATGATTATAATTCGCACAAATTCTGCGATATCATGCAATAGTAATTGAAGTTTCTTTCAATCTCCCCAGCTCGCTTGTTTGAACGAAAAAAAAATCATCCAAAATCGCTGTCTTGACCATTAGCCAACAATGTTTATGCTGCGAGGGATAATCGTCCGCTAAATATTGCATGATGCTGCTGAATTTTTATTATACAAAAAAAAATATATTCTTTCAATTGCTTTTTTGTAGCTTCTCTTAACATGAAACCGTCTGCTTTTGTTGCTCCAATAATTGAAGAAATTTGTTAACACAAATACAATGATATAAAAAAAATGCACATGTACGTGCTATAATACAGATAGAGATAGATACTCGAAATAATATAAAAAAAAAAGTAAAATTAAAGTAGAGAAAGAATGAAAAATTTCGCGAAAAAAAGCAAAAAGAATCATAATTGCTATACCATTCCTTGACTCGCCTCGAATCTACTTCTTTTTTTATCATTCTACCAAGATCATTATGTTGAGCATGCACGGTGAAAATAATTAGTAAATACTCATTTCTTTGCCTTATTTATTAAAGAGGCGAAAATGTAATTAATGAGAGCACATTGCCGTGAATGCGCGTCCACTTGAAAGGTTGAAAATAAGCGGGGTAAAAGTATATTGAAGCATAAAAGCAACGATGGCACGTAGAATATATATAGGAAGAATGGAATGAAAAAAAAAGTTTTTCTTTCTTTCATGTTTGAAGCATCAATTGATCCATTAGTTTATTGATTTTTTTTTCTACCTCATTTGTGGAATTAATAGATTTCTTATTACTGCAGCATTGTTCTTTGTTCGTTAGGATTCTCGCAGGTCTATATTATTAGTAGCACATGCAGATGATGGTGGATAAAGATACATAATGTTAAAGTAAAATTTTTAATTATTAACAAAGAAGATCGTTTTCAAATTTTGGATTATATAGACATGCAATGCGATTGGAGATATTTTGGGAATTAGGTAGCATTTTTGTTAATGGTTGGTCAATTTTTGGATGCTAAATTTTGAGTCTGTTGTGTATTACTTGACTGATTTTGTCATTTTTCTGATAAAAACGTACATCGATGTGACTCTGAGTTGTTAAAACAGAGTGGAATCTATAATGTTGAGCCTTATATAAGCACATTTTCCAGTGAAAGACAAAAGCCTTTCTAGCTCATTGCTTAAGTAATAGATCCGAAATCTATAACCAAACTTGGCGAAGACATGGGTTTGATTCCCACCAGAGGCTCATTTCATTGAATGTTGTAGATTTGATAAAGATTCGCTTAATTCTAATGACATTATAGACTCCTATACATAAATTCAAACAATTGAGGAACCACTCAAGTTGTGAAAAGTGAAAAGATGTAAAATAATTTCCCAGATGCGATTCTGTAGCTTGTATAAGAATATATTTTAATTCTTTATACGAAAAATTGTAACTTATATCGAACTGTCGGTGCTGTTTAATGGATGACCGCCCATCAAGAGATTGCAAATAGAAAATTTGTTCAAAGTCATCAAAAATCATGATCTCAGAAAATAAATTCGAGTACCTCCCCCACCCCTCCTTCTTAATTTTCTGTATTTCAAACTACGAAGCCTAGATTCAAAAACAATAAAAAGTCCAAAAAAAGTCCTCGAATAAACTCATGTGATAGCCAGCATGTGTATGACATTTTATTAGGTCTGCAAAAATTAAGCATGTCAAATCTTTAAATATCACTTCATGACATTAAAAACCACTGTCTTTCAAAAAAAAACTAAAAGACATAAAAAATCAATAAACTAAAAGTAAATTTTTTCCTCTATCCACATCTGAACCGTCATGTGTCACCGACTGGCGCAGATATACATATATATAATTTTTCTGACCGTTTTCTTCGTGCATGTACACATTTCGCTCTATATTTATTCCCTCGTCGAATGGATTTCATACAGCAACAGCAGCAGTAGCACAGAAAAAAAAACATTATTGAGATTGAGATTACAATTTTCTTCACGAATGACACATCAAAAAAAAAGAAGAAAAGAAGTTTGACCACCCATCGCAGCCCCACCATCAAGTCACTCACATACAGCATATACAGAATATAATATTACACAAAAGAGCTCATTCATTTCACAATATATATGTTTGAAATCCACTGAGAGGACGGTGGGATGAGAAATGGAAAAAAAAATTGAGATGAAACAGCATCAACATCAGCATGTGCCATGTGCGGGACATTAAAAAAAGTCCATTATTGATTCGCGAAAGAAAAGAAGCAGCAAGAAAGAAGAAAAAAGGACATTGAAGAGTGAAAATACAAAAAAAAATTTTCTTTTTTCAATCCCTTCTTTATTTTTCCTCGTTGAATCCAACATCCATCAACTGTTATGGCTATGACCATTCAGCCATACACTTCACAATCACAATCACCCCTTTTTTTTCCTTTCACTGATGCTTGACTAACAAAAAGAAAGCGATTTTCTTGCTCTGCTTACATCTCATACCCATTACTATTATAAATCGCCAGTTCTCGTCCACCCTCACAACTTTACTTACGGCGATATGGCGAGAAAAATGCCAAACCATCATTTAAGGATGTGGATATGTGAAAAAAACGGTCGTTCGTATTTTTTTTCTTTCTTTCTTTCTTCTGCTACTGTTGTAGATATGTGGACGATATATAAATATATTGAGGGGACGATGATGTTATTACAATTTCCATCAGGACGGCAATTTTTTTTTCTGTTGATGCTGCTGATGCTTTTTTTTCTTATTTCCTTCATTATTTTTCTTTTTTCTTTTCTTGTTCCCTCTCGCTGTTAAAGTTGCTGTTGTTGTATTCCTTTTTTTATTTTGGACATTCTCACTCGACAATTCATACTGTTTTCCTTCCTTTCTCCTTTATGTGTGATTTGAAATATGTAAAAGTACAATCGGGACAACTATTCATATGAATCTTCTATTGATGGTGTTGGTGGCTTGTCTTGCTCGATGATAAGGAGAGAATCAAATTTTTTTTGGCAGGATTTGATTATTTTTCATTTATTCTGGTTTTATTTTTTTTGACTTTATTCACTTATGTCGTGCAGGGGGGGGGGGGGGGGTCAGCTAGAAAAGAACAATAGAAATTCCAGGAAATCCATTGCTATTTTTTGAAAAATGACCGTTAATTTCAGACGTCATAAACGAACGAACCGATTAGTATGGGCTATCGACTGATCTTGGATCCAAATCTGTTACTATTGGATATCAAACCTGAACGCATAGAGTTTTTGAGAATCAGCAAGATAAACAACTCAAAACTAATTTAATTCTTTGTTGCCATTTAAGATTATTTTAGCAAATTCAATCTTCCTTCATCATCTGTTTTATTCTTCCTCGTTTCTATCTTCCTACATTTTTTTGCGCGAAATTGACTAAAAATAAAAAAACAGAGAAAAGTGAGAATGAATAAGAAAATAACAAATTCGAGTTGATTGATAGAGCGAGGGTGATTTTGTGTAAAAAAAATGTTCATGTATAACGCCTTCAATGCTTCCTTTTTGCTATTTTTTCTGCTACATATAATACATAAATAATATCCGTGGACCCTTCTTGATCATGACGGCGATGAGGACGACAAAAGAATGGTGATGATGATGACGATATTGTGTGCATGTACAGTACAGTTACGGTCAAAAAATATGTATTGAAAGTTTCTGTTCTTATTTTCGATGTTTGCGTATGAAATTTTCTTACATCGTGGCATGTGTTTAGATTGTAAATTACCATTTTTTTGTGTCCTATTCTCCCTCAATGACTTCATATGTATTTTTTTGCTTCCATTTCGAAACTTTCTAATTTTGGAATGACTTCTTATTGTGAGAAGTTACGTTCGATTTGGATTTTTTGGTCAATGTTTTAGTGGCTGTCTGAATTTACACAGTTAAGGTGGCTTTAAATATCATAAAGAAGAGCTTGGACTGAAGTTTTGCTCAGAGTTCGAAGCCGACTCAAGATTTTCATCGATTTTCCGAGTCTACTCGACTCCACACAAATTTTCATCGAGTTCTAGCTCTGGTTTTGCTTACCAAAACACGGTCTTTTAATTCCACAACCTTTAAAATCATCCCTCTTCTCAACAGGGACTAATGATGAGCACCTTTGATTTAGATCTTATTCTTCATGGCTTAGCAGTTGCTCTTGCGACAGCGCTGAGGCTCTTAATTCAGATAATTTTATTCTAGAAAGAAAAATCGATATACTGAATAAATATTGACTACGGTTAAGCTAAGTTACCATTAGCAGCCCTAAGAATCAGCCTATTTTTAAATGTTTATCCCATTCCCTTAAAATGCGCTTTTAAAACTTCCTTCAAATTTATGATATCCCAACTTATTCCCATCTTACTCATATGTACGTAAATATACTCACGTATTAATAAGAGTACATCTAGAAGTAGATAGATAAGTAAGATAGAGTACATGAGCATGGAGAAAAAGACGTCAAATAATAAATTGGAAAGATGGTGAGTGGTAGTGATAGTGACCGATACTATATTTCACAATTTTTTCTTCTGCAAAGGACGGAAAAAAATAAAAGCGGTGTATAGCATTTCATCAAATGAGCGTGTGTACTTTCGTCCTTCTGCTAAATAATGCCTTTTATACCATCACGTGTCGCTTAATTATTTTCTCTCTTTCCACGCTACACATGTTTTTCTGCTGTTGCCTGCTATCGCCTTTGTTGCCAATTTCGCAATAAGAAAATAAAATAAACCGTTGATTAGATTTTTTTTCCATCCATTTATTGATATCTGTGCAATTTATATATCAGAAAATTGGTAAACACGTCTTCATAACAATGCGATAATATTGAATTTCATGTTAGGCGAGATATGAGTAGATGACGGACAATATTGTGCGTAACTTTATATTTATGTAATCAAATGTAATGATTTTCTGCTTTTGAAAGGTCAATTGACATTACTTTTGCGCTGTCGAAAGAGTGTGGCAGTTGTTTTTCTCGTGAAAATTCTGAGAAAAGTGGCGTTGGATCGAATGTTTGTTTCAACTTTTTTCTTTTTTTTTTGTAGGTTTGACCTTTTGGCTATTGAAAATTTGGAACGTGATTTTCGAGGAGTCAAGTGACTTCAGACACTTTAAAATACTTCTAGATTTTTTTTTTGTCCGCTGGAAGTTAAATCGTCTTTTGTTTTAAATCTGTTTGCTGATAATAAAATTATTAAGTAGTATAAAATTTCTAATAATGCATAAGAATGTGCCATTGTATGATTTGGATTAACCTCCAGCACTCTCTAAAATGATATTTCCACTAGAAACTCGTAAAATATCCACAGAGCTCGAAGTCAATTCGAGATTTTCATCGATTTTGTATGGCGAAGTCGACTCGACTCCATACAAAGTTTCATTGACTTTGAGCTCTTGATATTCATCAGTTTAAAAAGGGATATTTATTCTCAATGTTAGCAAAGAGAACAGAGCCCGTTACAAACAAAAAAAATTCAAAATTTTCGCGCGGTATTTTTTTAAAATTTTAAAATAAGAAAGTCCGTTACTTTTTATTTTTTTTAAAACTAGCTGTTTTTTATAGCATAAACATTTAAGGAATGCAATTTCATCACAGTGATAATCTTAATCATAAAGACTAGTAGGAATGTTCACTAAAATTACAAATCACTCGAAAAATAATAATTCACAACGAATTTTTTTAAAAATAAGAACTTCGAAGATTCGATTTTCGAAAAATAAGAACCTCAAAAATTCGAAGTTCGAATAATAAGAACTCAAAAATTTCTGTTTGCTAGCATTGGATTTATTCTTGAGTATTAACCTTCTCACATTATTGACGAGGCGAGGGGGGGGGGGGGGGGGGGGTATCAAATTGCTCAAGAAACAAACCTTTGATTTGAATTGAGTCATTTAACTTCTCTAAATTTCAATCAAACTTAAAGTTCAATTTGAAATTATTTCTCTTAATCTACTTCAATATTGATATTTAAATACTAAGAATCGATCTTTTATAAAAAGATAAACAGAAGCACATGGTCTTTTATTATTATTGTATTATTTCCACAATTTTTTTTGCTCTCTGTAGTTTTTTTCATCGTAAAAAGAAATTAAGGGTGGTAGGGTGGATGAAAATTCATTCTTTTTTTTTCTAAGCTTAACATTTTTATTTCTCATTCAGTATTTTTTTGCATTATACAGTACATAATACTACGTACAGTACATAGAGAACAGAAAAAAATGAGAGCATGAAATAAAAAAAATGTAATTACATAATTTAATACTGTTGAATATATATACAGGACGATAGGAAGGAAGTGCAAAAAAAATCGTCTGTTTTTTATTTCATCTCTCTGTTCATCTTCCATTCATGGAACTAGTTGTTGTACACACATTTTTTTCCCTTTTCCCTTTTATTTGCGAAGCATATTCTGGTTAGATAGTAATTCTCTGTCCCATTCCATTCTCCCATAAAAATGAATCGTTGTCGTTTAGTGTTATATGCAAAAAAGTGAGAATTTTTTTTATTTTATTTACTCATTCGCTTCTACTTCTCCTATATCTCACTATACTGCACTTTGTGTGTGGATGGAGGCGAATATAAAAAAAAATTGTGAATGAAATGAAAGCGAAAAGTGAAATAAAAAAAAAGTTTATGACTTTCACTTTATGCATTCTTTTTTTTACCACCCGCCCCGCTATTTTACCCACAAAATCTGCTTCTCTTTCTCTATTCCTCGCACATGACACAATTTTTATTCGTTCTATGTAATTCTTTTTTTTTTCACTTTTATTTTCATTATTGTCTCACTAGCTATGTATGATGTCGAGTTAATGAATCTTAATGCTAATGAGACATATTTTCTTTCTCTCTTTATAGCCAACGCGTCTTCATTCACCTGATATGGTGCTGAGATCACGTAAAGGAAATTCATTTGAAATGGCTACGTTGTTGTGTAGTATTTTAATAGGATTTGGCTTTCCTGCCATGGTCGTTTCGGGATATGCAACACGTGAAGTTACAACGAATGATCAACGACGTGTAAAATGTCCTTATATACCTGAAGATAAGGTTGAGGATGTTGTGGAAGAGGAACTTGATGCGAAATATAAATTAAAGGATCCACCATTTCTTAAAAGTCGATTTTTGATTCAATGTGAACAGAAGGAAGCAGATGTACAGAATGAAGTAATAGCTGAGAAACTGAGGGAAGAACAATTAAAATTGGAGGAATTAGAACGACCAGAAATTGATCCTGAGCTTGGCTTTCGTATTCATTCTTGGATTGTCATGATTAAGAACTCTCCATGGTGCTTCAAGCCTGAATTCGCAACACCTCAAAATATAGACGAAGAAGAACTGGAAAATGCTGAACCAAAAGCATTTTTTATTGAACCATCAACAGGCTTCATGCATGATTTGACTGACATTAACTATCTTGGGATCGAAAGCATTTGGAATCATCAAAATTATTATGTAAATCTACAATATCCAAACACACCAATTCATGAGATGAAATGGGATGTGTCTGATAATCAAAAATGGGAACATTTCCTGCCCGGCGAGCCATTTGAGTTGAGAAAAGAAAAGAAACCGGATGATGAGGATGAAGATCAGCCAACAGAGAATCAAATTTTGGCAATTGAGAAACATCTTGATATGCCATTTTCATGGGTTGACATGTTGCACATTAGTGCTGTTGATTTTGAGGAAAGATATTTTAATGGCGAAAAGAAGGAACATTATAAATATGTAGTTTATGAAAAGTTTGCTCCTTATAAGAATGAAGACGGTCTTATGAAGCGCTTGACCATCTTTAAAACTCTCGAATATGAAAATCCATTGCACATCTACGAATGGTACGAGAATCGTGAAGATTTTATGAAAACAATTCAACGCAATTGCTGCACGACTGAAATAATTGAGGAATTTGATAAAGGAAGAGTCGATTGCTTGAAGACATTTGTTCATTATCCTGACGAGACGAGAGAAGTCGTCTTGAAGTTTTTCTCAAAAAGTCGATTTGATTGCATGAGGCAGGCAGCTTTTCATTCAACTTATATTGCTGAGTTTTATGACGAAAGGCGACGCGATTTGTGAGTTGGATTAGACAAGCTTTAACTTTTAGCGATGAACATTTAATTATCAATTTTAATTTCCAGAATATATTATCGAAAATTCTTCATCAACGGCAGCTCATCAGCAAGAAACGTCGAGGTAATCTTAACAATTTTCATTTAAATGTCTCATTCATTAATTTAAACCTCCATCTCTTTTAAAACCAATTCCATCCGACGTCTGACCATTATCAGAAAATCATTGAAAAATACAGCCGCAATGAAAATAAAGACGCCTATCACGATGTCGCCATACGTCATTTTAATCGGAGCGAGAATGAAATTTTTGTTCAATTTCATTATGACGAAGATGCAATAACGGCTACGACAAAAACTTTCATTAAACCACCACGCAGCGAGAAGGAAGCAAAATTCAGTGAGAATAGTGTGAGAGGCTATGTTGCAAATCCATGGGAATCTCAAATGAATAATTTAGAAATGTTCTATTTGCTGCAAGATTTAATGAAATGCGAGGAGAAATCTGTCGACTGTTTTCATGCTCGTGATACAGAAATAAAGGAGATTTTAGAGGCTCGGAAGGAGCAAATTGCGAATCCGTTATTGAAATTTAGTATTTTTGATCCATTAAGGAATGATTCAGCAAGAAAAATGAGGTTGCAAAGGGTGAGCAATTTTTGATTTCTATTCAACAAAATTCAATTTAATATTTCACATCCCAAACATTTTTTAATAGTTTGAGCAAATGAAAACACGTGAAATGCTCGCAAAAAGTCAGCAGGCAGACTTTCTCGCACCCTATCTCGTACGTTTCGAGGATAAAAAACCGCAAGATAATGAAATTGAAATTGCCATTCACGACTGCTTGAAAGATTTCAAGAAAAATTATGAGGAAATGATAAATGAACTTCAACATCGATATGATGAGTCAACGGCTGAATTAAATTCACTCAAGCGTTTTCTTCATCGCTATATGGATCAATTTTCTATTCAAGAATACGATAAATTCATACAGGAAGGGTAAGATGATGATGATTTCAGGTAGAGAAGTGAGTAGTTGATGTTGTTGGGTTTAAGGCGCATTGTTTGAGAGGATTCTGAACTTTAGGAGCCAATGCTTTAAAGTATTGAATTTAATGACGCCCTAATTAAAGGACAGACGTAACCAGAGTGGAGGCAGGGGTCTTAGAACATCCAAGCATTTAGGAAATGTCTGAAGACAGTTCTTTCTATCTCATTCTGCTGCTAAATTTGAGTATTGGGAACTCTAGCATCATGATAATAGTTTCTATCTAAATCTTTAAGAGGATAGCAACCAAAAACCCCTTTTGTATTTTTCCTTGCTTCCTTCCTAGTCCAGTAACTGCTTTGCTGCAAAATTCATGCTTTTTCTACTTATTGTGAATACTTTAAACCGTTACTCTCTTGTTGTCTGTATCAAATACTTCTTCAAACTGGTTTCTTAGACAATCTGTCACTAAACCAGCCTCAACAGCAATTCCATTACAAACCTGCTAATAAAAAAAGGTTCAAATATAAAAAAAAATTCTGATTCAATATCTTCTTCACTTTTTCTTTAACTCTAATTATAGCGAGAATATTGAACGTTATCGCAAAATGATTCAGCAACGAATCAACGCCGTAAAAGAGGAATCATCAAGAAAATTCGGAAATTTAGTTGACTCAATTCCAGGTCGCTTGGAGCAAATTAAGAAGAATCAAGGTGTTTCAGTGTCAATTGTTGATAATTGCGATGATTGAGGATGACTTTGCTGTGTGAACTGTTTTTTTTTTGAGACTTTGGATTCATTGAGGAATAAAAATTTATTTTTGTGAGTTTTTGTAGTTTTTTTTTTCATGACTAGTGATTAACTTAGTTTGAGTCAACTTGTGCCTTGAAGGAAAATAAATAAAAAATTTCCATTCATATGAAAATCATGTTGTTGATCCATCGGAACCCAATAACATTCTGATTTGCAGATGTATATTTTAAAATTTATAATCATCAGCATCCTCATCATCCACCATCATCATCGTCATAACAATAATAATAGTAGTAAAGTAAAAAAAGGCAGTAGAAGAAGTTAAATAATTTTTTGGTCTATGCTGAAATAGGAAAATTTACCCTCAAATTCTTGTTTTTCAGTTTGAATCCGTAGAGATGGGGAAAAAGCAATAAGAGTAAAAAGAGAAAGGAAAGATGATACATGCGTAGTACAAACTGACCATTTCAAAATACACAAAAACACGGCACACATTCTTGTAAGGATGAGATTTTCTTCCTTTTTTCGCTTCGCTTAGCTCAAGACTTGTGTATAATACACATGTACTATATTTATATATCTATATATGTGCAGTGGACGACACACAAAAACCGATGATGCTCTATGTATGTTGAACTACACACATAATAAATTTCACTTGTGTATGTTTAGTCCGTAAAGGCAAAAACTTGGTTATATGGACACTATCGCGAAAAATAAATATATGTATGTGAGGTGATAAGGATGAAAAATTAGTAATGGAATGAGAGGAGGGTCGGAGATGGATGGACAGAACGGAGGAGGTAAAATGAAAATGCTAAAATCTCAAAATTGAAGAAAATGGAAGGAGGTGATTTTTGAAAATTTTGTGTAGGATGAAGATGCTTTTACATAATTTACAACAGAAGCATTTTAAGACAGATTGATGAAATGAATTTATTTAATCTACATTTTAAAAATATTTGCTACATCTAGCTGTATTCTTGAATCTATTCCTCGTCGTCGCAACTTCAAGTTATTTTTCCTTTTTCGTTTGCTTGACCGGTGGAAAATATTGATTTTTCCTTCATCCGTGTCACCCCTTGCCACCTTCGCGTTTTTTTTTCCTTGTCGTCATCGAGAAAAGAATTGTAGCAGAAAAAGGGATGCTTGGACACATTCAATGTACGTTATTCACAATTTTCTTGAGGGAAAAAAAATATTTTTTTTTCCTCGTTTCTTCTTTTTTTGTGCTGCTCTGCATGCTGCATATAGATATATATATATATATATATATATATGTGTATTTATATTCTACTTACAGTTGACGGTGTATATATTGTGTATAGTGAAGGAAAGGATAGGGGTTTTTCATGATGCCTTATGTAATCTTTTGTAAATGTCTTTTCATTTCAGTAAATGGACATCTCGCTATGAAATGAAAGCATTCTACTCGACGTTCCTTTGACATTATCATTTATTCCCTCGAGCATATTAATGTTGGCTCGCGAGGAAATGGAAGAAAAAGTTGATGACACGAATTCTGTTTCATTTTCTTTGTTTAATGCAGTGCTGTTTAAAGCTTGTTGGGTTAAGGAATTACTTTGTACTCGCCGTACACGAAATGTCAAAAGTACGAAACTGATTGAATGGTTTTTAAACATTATTGATCAGTTCTTGTCAAATAAACATATTACATGGGTGTGGTGCTGATTAAATGATCAAATTTGATCAAAAATTATCAACACCGATTAAATGATTTTTAAACATTACTGATCAGTTCTTGTCAAATAGACAACATTAGCTATTTGTGAAACACTTAAGATGCTTTTAAATTTCTGATAGCCGAATAATTTTATAACCGTCAACACAAATTGTAAATTTTTGATAAAATTGAAATAACTTCTTAGTTCAACGAAAGATTAAAATTAGATCGATTTTGTGTTACTCGCGTATCGAGTATACATATAAATAAAGTTTCAATCCATTCAAGCAACATTGCTATTAAATGAGAAAAAAAAAGATCTATTCAAGGCGCAGCAGTGTACCTAAGCACACAGTTTGAACAGCACTGATTTAATGTATTAAGTGAAGATGAAGTTGATGATTCTGTTTAATAAATTAAGAGAAAAAGGTAGAAAAGCCGTGGAGGACTCATTATGAGATGAGTCGTTTTAAAGATATTAAAACTGCAAGAGATTTTCTTTAACAGACTTATTGCTGGGAGGATGCTTGAATGCAATGTTTAATAAATCTAAATCTGATTAGGGATTAAAACTCAGTAGATTTTTGTTGCTCGAGTAAGTATATTTTTTCGAAAAACGTTAAGTAACTTGAGTATTAGGCAGAGCTCAAAGTTGATGAAATTTTGTAAGGAGTCAAGTCGATTCTGAGTCGACTACGTCATACAAAATCGATGAAAATCTCTAGTCGACTTCGAGCTCTGGTATTAGGTATCGAGGAAAAAGTTTTTTTTATGTGAATTTTCTTTGTTTTTTGGGTTGCTCGAGTAATGAGTATCGAGTAAATTTTCACAAAGAAATTAAGGAACACAAGTTTTGAGTATTGAGTATGAGTAAAGTTTCAATCCCTTCATCTGTTAACAGAGGAGGACAAAGAAGGAAGGCGACGGTAATTTGACGTCGAATAAAGAAGCGCAAATTTTACAATTGGCGCTGGATGACAGACTTTCTTGCTATGTTTTTGATTTAATTAATAAGTTTGTTGATGAAGCAATTTTATTTTAATATTTTCAGCCTTTGGTAGGTCAATAAATTTGTTTGTAAATATATTTTGGTACAGGGAGTAGTTGGGCATTAGTATAAAAAGTATTGTTCCATCCTGATTCCATCAAAGAGTTTAAAAATCCCAAAAACATGCTCTAGACCAGTGAATTCCGAATTATAAGTGTACAGTTTTAATCATGGCTTATCATAAAAGTGTGTCGCCGACCAACAAAGGTTCAATGACACTGCTCTAGTCTATTCCTTAAAAAATTAATATATTTTGAAATTTTGATTTAAATTCTCTTAATTTATAAAAATCATCCCTATTTACAAAAGTTGACTTGTCAAAAAGAAAGCAATAGGGTAAACCATGTTGAAATTTGTGCAATGTAGAAATTTGTGCTCTCGTATAAAACGTAAATCATCACTAATAAGCCATTATTACCAAATATTTATTTGCAATTCGGTGTAAAACTATTCTTCAAATATTTCCACATCATTTGAAAATTCTTGAACCTTACAGCTGCTTTAAATTTAAAAAAATTCGAAATCCCATACAAAATTGTAATATTCATTATGTTAATTATTTGCACATTACCAGTGCTTATCATACACACATTAGAATTGAAAATTCAAATTTGTTTAAAGCTTTATAGTTTCAAAAAGTTTCAGGTCAAAATAGTCACTGGAAGTGCTTTAAAAATCGATCTTAAAATTTCTTGTTCACAAATGTTGAAATTTGTGCGGAATTTTTTGATGAATGATGAAATTTGTGCACTTTTTATCAAAGAAAGCAATGAGAAATTTTGTCAACAATAAACAATATTTATGGATGAAATTCATGTTTTTAAAGGTTTTATTGAATAACATGAATGGAATTGCAGAAATTAATAACTTTAAATTTTTTCTTAAAATTTGCCAGAATCATTAAAGAAGCATATCCTCTTTTTAGCTTAATTAAAGACCTTCAAATAAAAACAAAACAATTTCTTAATTTTCATGATGCATGTTCTTTTAATTTATTATGAATTTATCAGACTTGCGTCATTTCGTATGTTGGCAGTTATGTAAAATTTTGAAAAATTCAAAATTTATTTTCCGTTAAAGCATAAAACAAAATTTTGCTTTAATTAAGCTACAGATTATGAAGCTTTTCGATCAGTATCACTAATTATGTGATGAGTAAGTTTTTAATCATTGTTTCAAGCAGTTTCAAGTAAGAAAATTCCTAAATTAAGAAAATTCAGTTGAAATTGAAAAATGTCAACAAAAAAATGTAAGTGTATTAGTGTAAAAATTTCTTGAAAACATTTCTGCAAAAAACTCTTTTGTTTCCTGATATTCATGATTTTAAAGCTTATCAATGTTCATAAAAAATAACAATCTTTGATTCTAAGCTAGTTGACAGTAGTTATCATAGCTAAAATGCTCAAAATTCAGCATAGAATTTTTTAAAGTTTTACCGGTTGAATTGAGTTTAAATTTTCGAAATAAATTTCGAATTTTTCGAAGCCAATTTCGAATTTCTTCGAAATGAAATGACGCAAGTCTGGAATTTATGATATCTTTCCAATCAATCTATGCTGAATAAAGTTAAGAAAAAAAAAATTGCAGGACGTCCCTACTTTATGGATTTTTTACAATCCATTATTATTTGAATCTTTAGTCTCGCATTTATTTGAAGAAATAAGTTTGAAAAAGCCGGTTGTATACTTCTGATGTTGCTTAAAGCTAATTCAGAGGTTCTTCTTCCGAAAAATCGCGAATTAAGCTCTAATAAATAATAAACAATATGTTTGTTTACATTTAAAAATTGAAAATAAGTCAAAGATTGTTTTCAAAAAAGTGCACAAATTTCAACATTTTTTCACACAAATTTTAAAATTTTCCGCACAAATTTCAACATTTGATCGAAAATGTCAAATATCTCTTCTCATAGCCTGCATAACCCTCAAAAAGTTTTAATAACTGAAAATTCCCACAATTTCTGATCTTTTGAGCCCATTAGCAAATTTTTATAATCAACCATTAACAAGTTACTTGCAAATCAAATCTTCATGTGCAAAAACACACAAATTTCAACATGGTTTACCCTAAATTAAATTGAATAAATTAATTTAAATTTTTCTGCATAATAAAATAATTTCTATTCAGTCATATCCCTCATTGCCAAAAATAAAATCACAAGCCAATTCTCAACCCTTTCAGCATAAAAATTGCAACAATTCTTTTAATTATATTCAAGATGCCTCAAGGCTATTTCCATCACCTCCCAATCATTCAATCAAATTTCCACTTTTCACTTTCAGCATTTCGTCAGTTCCCAATGAGTGCGAACAAAGAAAATGTCAGTTAATTTTGGTTAATTTCGAAAAAATTCAAAAAAAAATTC